ATAAATTCTAATTATAATAATAAATTAATAACAGTTTTGCATCTAAAAATCATATTTTATTCTTTTCATCTGTTTTTCCCTCTTTCAGCAGCCTTATGGATTTCTGTTTTGTTGTATTTTATAAAAATGTCCAATTTAATAATGTGTGAGAAACCTAAATTTTTTGTAATTCAGTCAGTGTTTAATACGGCTGGCAAAATAAATTGTTAAAATAACATACAGATCTGCTTTATTTTTTTAAGTCAGCCTATTGTAAATGTTTTACCCTTCATGTTATGGAAAGACCTTCTTGATACAAAAGAAAACTCAGGTTTTTAAGAAAGTGTCTGCTTAATAATTAATCATTAGTTGATTGATAAGATCAAACAACTCTAGATTCATTCGATTATCGATAACGCACAGGCCGCACAGAACGAACAGTTAACATCCATATTCTGGATTATGGCTGCGCTGGTTTTGGGGACTCGATCCTTCGGGCTCATTCTTCAGATATTCACACAAGTGCATACAACATTCATGGCTTCAGATACACGCCCCCCTAAACTCACTTACTCCTCTGGCTAATAAATGTGCTCTATGCAGAGGTTTTTTTTATAAACACCATAGTGTGTCACATTGTTGATATAATATGATGTTTTTTTCCCTCATCTTCCCTTGTGTGGTTTTTAGTTTTTCTGTTAATGGTTGTGCCTTCTCATGATGTCTTCATGAAGATGATCCTTGCTCTGTGCAGGGTCTGTGGCTGCATGACCCAGGGCATCTGTACTCCTATGTTTGTTATGTTCTGTCTTCTTCTGAATGGGTGTTCTGAACTGTAATTTCATTGTGCTCTGTACAATGACTATAAAGGTCTAATCTAATCTAATCTAATTTGCATCCCTAGTTGCCTCTCATAAGTGTAAAATGTCCATACTGAGGTTCCATGGAAACATGAGCCATTAGATGCTGCTGGAAATTATATTTCCTTGAATAAAGTTATCTAATTTCATCTAGTCTAAGCTAGGTTTGTAATTTTTGTATGTCTGTTGTACAGGAGCTTGAGCGGGTGGAGGATGTGTGGCGAGGAGAAGCTCAGGATCTACTCTCCCAGATTGCTCAGCTGCAAGAGGAGAACAAAACCCTCCTGTCCAACAAACCCATCAAAGACTCTGTGAACGAGGACTACCTGCAGAGGCATGAGGGTGAGCGTTTTGGCTCTAAAGGCAAAGCTCACATATGTTGTATGCAGGGGTGGAAATGAAAAATTTTCCCCACCATCCACAGTGGCTGGTAGAAAAGGTTTTGTGCTGGCCACTCAAACTTTTTGCCAGCCACTGTTTTTTGTTTCTGTAACATGGTCCTTGGTGGCCTAATTAAAATTTTTGTGCCTACAATCAGATAATAACACTCAAAATCTATTAGTGTCTTAGAGTATTCAAGCCAGCCTGTTTGCTCAAAATTAAAATGATGGACTTTTTGACGTCTGTACTTCTCTTACTAACTTGATTTTTGCTATTATATTTGGTAGGCTACTTGGCTGGAAAAAAGGCTTTTTAACCTTAATAATATAAGTTAAATTTTCAAGGTGAAAGGAAAAAGTAAGCAAAAAAATTAAACTAAATGAACGTACAACTAAATTACCTGTGGTAAATTTATCTTTTGCAGGTGTTTAGAGTTAGTTCGTTGATTCAGATGATTAGGTTAATAAGTCATTTAGAGAACATTTTCATGATACGCTAATTTTTTGAGATGGGGATTTTTGATTTTTCTTTACCTTTTTGCCAAAATCATCAATATTAAAACAATAAAAGGCTTGAACTACTTCAGT